AATTTCAATTAAGTTGCCGAGCGAACCTTGCTGGGGTGGCGATGGCCTTTAACCTTTAACCTTTAAGCGATTCGGCACAGTTGCAACGACGCGTTTTATGAAATTCTAATGATGTTTGACTGATTTCCTCCCCCGCAGATGTCCTTCCCCCTCCACACCCTCTCCCCACCCCCGCCCAAGCATTTCATGAACTTTTTGGGCAATAAAGAAACTTTTCCCGGCTACGTGTGTGTGGCATTATTTTAATTGCCGCTCCTGCTGTGACCCCATGTTATTCCCCCCGCTTTTCCTTCATGTTATTGCTGTTACATTTCGCACGTGACTTTCTGATTTTATGGCTTTTAATTTCACGTATTTAGTCACGGATAAGGTTAATTGTATTCAACCGCCCACCGCCCAACGCCCACGACCTCGCCCCATAAATGTGTGGTAAATGCCCCCATTGACACATGCAATTCGGAAGTCTTTTGTCATAGTTGATACGCCTATGTGTTCTGATCTCGGGCAGCAGAAAACAATTGGCAGGCCTTCAATTGTACGCCCTAATTACTGGGTGACGATAAACGGTGATGGCAGATATGACACGATAATGGAAGGACTCAACGGCCTTGTCAACACAAAGGAAGGCCGTCTCGTTTGGCTGGCATTGGCTTGAGGAAATATTTGCAGAAAATACTGGCCATTTATTGGAAATTGGGAACTCAGCAAACCGAAGTGCTGATCTATTCTTGATCTATTCCTTTAAAATGGGTTATCTTAAGGAAAGTCAAAAAAAAAAAAAACATAAAAGTATAAAAAAACCAAAAATTCAATTGAACTAAGAAAAAGTTTAAAAGCAGTAATCCATTAATAATTATTTACTCTGCTTTAAATTGTTTCCTAATCTTGTTTTTTTTTTTAAAGGATATTGCAAAAAATAGCCACTGCTTTAATAATAATTGACCTTAAGAAAACATATTTTATAAAATATTAAAAAGCTAATTTTTATATAATTCGAACATTTTAAATATTTAAGAAATACAAATAACAGCAATGGAATTATCTAGATGTCAACTAGGTATGCTTACAATTTAATGGAAAATTCAATTTGAACATGTCTAAGCTCGTGTTATTTGATATATAAAGCATAAGCAATTTTCAATTTAAGAGAAATAATAGCAGGCCCTATTCGTGCACAGTATTAACAGGGCAAACAGAATTCGATTTGAGATTTGCTTTTCTTGTTTTTATTGCCTTTCAGTGTGGCATGCAAATTTAATGATGTCGACGAAAGGCAACAAGGCAAAAAGCAGAGTATACTTTTGTGGGGAAACGGAGTGGATTTCGGATTTTAATTATCAAAAGAGCAGCAGCCAGGGCAACGGGCAACGAGCAACACATGCAGACAAGTGTATGAATAACGATTCGTTTACGGCCAGGATGCCGGGATGCTCTCGTTGGACAAATAATAATATGTAATTTTCCGGTCATTGAAACATTTGCACAAATAAGGAAATTGACTGAGCCGTTTGCCCAAAATGACTTTGACAGCACGTGTCCGTATCTGAATTTGAATCCGGATCTGTATCTGCATCTGCATCTGCTGCCGTGTGTAATTCTAGTTCTAATTCCAAGCCGATTCCAATTTCTGAAGCAAACCTCCAATCCCTAACCCCATTCGCAACCCAGTTTCATATTCCAACTAAAATCCCTGTCTGGGCGATGAATTATGGCTTTTGGGTGGCGTTTGCTCCATTAGACTTGACTTTGCCATCCTCAAGTAAATCATTTCAATATTTAAATTAAATCAACTTCAAATTCGACGAGTGTGTGTGTGTGAGTGTGCTCAGACAAATATAGTTTGCGGATGTTAGTTGCTTCCTCTTCAGTCTAATCTTTTTCATTTTAGCTGCAATTCGAAATGATTTTAAGGCGTTAATTATAAAGCGAAACACGAAACACGACAGTAGGTTCTTGAAATTCACAACTTTAAACAACTGATTGATTTAATGGAAGCTTAATAGTTGTTTGTAGAATTAACTTTAAATTTAAAGCCTTTCGTTCTATTAATCGTGGAATTGTGGCTGTTGTGTGAGTGCCTCTTTGAATAATGTATATTTGGGTAATGCTGATGGGTAAATTAAATAATCATAAAGTCATTTCAGTAAGTGATTGTTATTTGGACTGGTTTCTATATGAAATTATCAATGCAAAATCAATTATTCATATGCTCAAATATAGAGAAAAATATCTTATTTCTCATATCATGACTCTCTTTTTAAATTATTTTAGTCTATACATATAAAAATGTCCCAAGAAAATGAATAGTAATTCATAAATTTTATTTCAATTGCTCGTAAAACCCAGGTGGAGGAATTTAAGAACACAAATTAATCGTCGATATTGAAATTTATAATTTAGAACATTGGCTTGTGCCAAAACCTTTTATGAATTCAATTCCTTTTGCTGATCTGAATATTGAAATAAGAATTCCTTTTTCCCAAAACACATGAGAAGACATCTTTTGTGGTTGCTGCTGTCACTTGAGCAAATGCCATTAGTAATGTGAAATTATTTAAAATTTATTTCGAACGTTTATGGGGGTATGGGAAACGTGCCAGCTCGAGATGAAACGAATAAATCACTGGATGTCCTCCGCAAGTCTGCATCAGCTGGAAAGCATTCCTCATTCCTCACTGCTCGGCTCCTGGGCCACAAAGATTTTCCCAACAATTTCGGTTGACTAATTGAAAGTTCGGGGGAAGGAGAAAGGAGAAAGCAGAAAGGGGTCGGCGGCTGCAACATTTGGCAAATGGCAAACATGACGTAAAACATTTTGCCAACAAGTCAGAGACAACTGAATACAATGGCAGCCACTGTGTAAAAAAATGTAAAAATGTTTCTTAACAAATCGCACGCGTGTCAAAAATAAAACGAATACGTTTTTTATGGACGCACAAAGTCGCCGCTTAAATAAAAGGCGATATAATTTAAAAACTGTCGCCGCGGCGCCTTTTGTCCCGAAATCGCAAAATCACAAAATCACAAAATCGCAAGTGGTTGAGTGGGTGGATGGGATGGGTGTTTGCGGGGAACAGTCGACAATCGGCGGTGCTTATTTACGATGTGGCTTCGCTCTGCTCCGACTTAGCCGGATAATTAATTAAAAATCGATAAGAATTTGATTTGGATTTAACGGCTCTGGCTGAGCGGTTGCGAGAATTATGATGCTTAGTCAGCCGAAAGCCGAAAACCGAAAACCGAAAATCCGAAAGCCAAAGCGGTTTCGACCAAATTTCTGACATCCCAATGACAAACGACAGTCGGCACCCCCTAACACCTCCCACATTTCCCCCAAACGGGGCCTTTTGTTTCTGTTTTTGTTTACGATACTCGATTCGCAATTAGGTATACATTTTTGAATGTGAATTCCCAGCGGGATGCATAACACGCATACACCATATATATGTACATACATATTTATATGTGGGCGGCGCAACTATAAATAGGCAAGCGTTTCAGATTTAAGCCATGTGGTCCACCTGATTTGATTGTTTGCCAATGAAAATGATTGCAGGCCATAAATTTGGGTTCCCGTATGTGCGCGTTTCCTCCTTTTCCTCATCGGCGTCATAAACCACATCCGTGATCTTCGCTAAACGTAATACCCCATTTTGACCACTTATCATTATAAAATAAAATAATGGAATGACCAAAATCTCCTATAATTCACAATGATTTTGGTACTTGCAGTACACACAAGACAATAGCTCATTGTTAAAATTAACTGTGCGTTATTCTAAATAAAAAGTTATAAGTGTTAATTTAATGCTAAATAAAATAAAGTACCAATTTAATACTAAATAAAATGAGGTACAAACTTAATACTAAATAAAAAATATCAACTTAATACTAAATAAAGTTTAGTATTAAAGTAGTACAAAGCCAAATAATATTAGGCTTTAGTTTATGTAGTATACTTTGTAGTTTCATTTGCAAACCAATTAAAATTTAATACTTTGGAAGTTTTTAGTTAATACGCAGCTTAATAAAAAGTTGTTATTCTCAATACTTAAGAATTTCTACGAATATATTTATTTGTGTTTTAGCATTAGCAGGGTATTCGACTGTTGAGGGCCTTGGCTGTGCTCTTTTTTCTTCTTCTGTAGTCTTTCTCTTATCCGCTGGCTTCTTTTTATTTTTATTGTTTCGATTGGAGCGCGTGAATTTATGGCGGTCATAAATTACATTACAAACAACACACGCGAAGGTCGCCTGGGGACGGCCAAAGGGTTGCCTCAGGGGGCTGGATGCTGGCCCAGTTGGATTTCACAGGGAGCTAATTATTGTAAATTGAGCACTAATCTCGGGAGGAAGAATTTCCGATTTCCCAATACCTTAAAATCTTTCTATTTAATTCCAATGTTTATATATAAGTAAAGTATTTAAGGGTTTGCCATATACAATTCACTGCAATTAATTTTCACAAATTAATAAAATTAATATAAATACAATTTGTGAAATGCATTTGTATTACTGGGCAATATAAGCAGCAATACTGACCTTAAACTGCTTAAAACACATAAGAGCGCAAAACTTGAACAATGGGCATTTCGATGTAGAAAACCTCTAAAAGTTTTGTGGCTGGTGAATTTTTAATCAAATTTTTTATTGGCTATTTCTTAGTTTCAGATAGAATACGGATTGGTGACCCAAATCTATTTCGTTGTTGCATTTCTGGTTAAATCTCTCTGACAGTATTCATCATGTTGGCATAATTTAACGTTTGGAAATTTTTTGAGTAATAATTTTCAGAGAGCTGCCCCAATATGAAACTTCTTGGCTTTATAACGTAACTGATTAACCCTATATTTTATATCAGCAAGACTTTATGTGTTGGTGGCTTAATTCTCTAATTCTCTCTCTGCATTTCAAGCTTGTGGCTTTATTTTCTAAAAATCTGCATTCATATTTATACTTTATGTCCTTAAAAATTGTTCAGTAGTAACGTTTTGACGTACCTTTGCACACCTTGCGGTGGGTGAGTGGCTTGGTGGGGTCGCGGTAGTATCCCTCCTTGCACTGGTGGCAATTCCGGCCCGTGGTGGCGTGGCGACAATTCTGGCAGACTCCGCCGGAGACGCCCTGCGAAAGTCGGAAGATCTCCATGTTGAAGCGGCACTGGCGGGCGTGCTTGTTGCAGTTGCACTCTGAAAGACACAAGGCGAAACAAGTTCGGATGAGAAAAGACACATCTGGCAGATACGCGCTCACTTCGCACTTGTTAAGTTCTAGCTGTCCGCTTTTAAACGGCTTTATCGCCGCCTCTGATTTGGCGATTGCCCAATGCGATAAATGGAAAAAAATGGCCCGCTAAATGGCTTGAGATTGGACGGAATGAAGCGAGATTGGATGGGGAAATGGGTCTAGGATTGGCAGTGGATGGGCGCGCTATTTGTCTAGCGGGACATTGGCTTAGGTTGGATAATTTATGCGACGATTTGTTGTGAATTACTTACTGAAGACCTTACCCATCGACAACGGGGCGAATGCCTAATATAGAGATAATAAGTTGCCTCGAATTTTCTGTTTCCCATATACATTTTTTATTTAAAAGGTTTGTCTATATTTAATTTGCTCCCTTTTATTTTTAATCAGAAGAATATTTGTTATGTATTTTATTGATATAATACCATGACGATGCTAAAAAACCTTTGTTGAACTCTTCATGGTGATTAGGAAATGGGCATAGAATTTAAACTTACAGAGAAAAATTCGGGTGAATTTACTGGTTTTGGGATTTCTTTAACTTTTTAATCATAACTTTTTAAAATCATTCTTAACAATGGTAAAATCTCTTAAATCTTTTAAAGAGAAGGTAACTGGCATATTCCATTCGATCCCTGAAGACCGTAGGTTCCTTTGCTTATTCGCTGTCGCCTGCTGCTTGTTATGCTTTTGGCAAACAGTTTTGCTATTGACATTCGATGGCGACTGCTGCGGTTATTGCTGCCTGCCATTGATACACGGAGAGAAAAAGGGCACTTTGTTTGAATGGTCAGCCATTTGTGGCTACAATTTGTGAGCAAATATATAAAACAATGTTATTTCGCTTGTGCTTTTAACCAAATTGTTTAAGCAAAGTTTGTAAGATAGGTTTTTGAAATATTTGCAAATTTAGCAACAGCCTTTAAAAAATCAGTTTAAAAGTCTTTAAAAGCAATTTACATATATTGATATTTGTAAGAAAAAATAATGCTTTCATTAACGAAATTGCTTTTTAAGCTATCTAGGAGCAAAGATATCTTAAAGGATCCCTTAATCTTGGCCGTTAAGACCAGCCAATTTTACCAGTGTGCAATTGCTGGTGCTGAGTTGGCATCTTTTGGCTGAGGTCTGAACGCCAAGGGAAGCGCAGTTGAAAATGGACAGCTGACCTGTCAATGGCAAAGACCACGAGTCTTTCTGCCGTTGCAGCCAGTGGCTAGACAAAAACTTGAAGCACCGCACCATTGTCCATGGTCGAGGGCCCACTGTCTGCGATTCCGTGCAATCGACAGTTGTGTCCATCCTGCTTCATTTCGCTGTTCGGTTTTGTTCTGGACAGGGCACACATGTTATAATTATCGGCCGCAGGCAGACAAGACGACTCTCGGCTCCACTTTCACTCCACTCTCACTGCTTCCACTGGGTCTCCCTGCTCCATGCCCCATGCCTCATACCACTGCCTCCAATCCCCATTCTTCAATCTCCAATCTCCATTCCGTCCTCATGCCAGTCGCAGACAAACTTATGTCAGCGCAAATATTTGAACGCAGTCAGGGACTGTCGCATTCATACACTAGAAAAAATTAAAGAATTCTAATTCTAAGACCAGAATATTACAACTGTTTAATAAGGTTACTCATATATTAAGTTAAAGAAATCTGAATTTAATTAATATTTTCATGAACTAATTTTTTGTATAGCAATATTTCATCCATAAAGTTTTTATTTAAAATGGGTACAAACAAGAAATATATTATAAAATTCCGAGTAAAAAGATACAGACATGTTATGGGCAGAAAATCCATTTAAAATTATATGAATTTCTTAAATTTAAAACTGAAGTGGTAAATTCTGAAAAAGGTTCATTTCGTTCTGAGCATTTACTTAATAAATTTAAATTGATTATAGCTAACTAGTTCAATTTAAGACTAAGTAATTTTCGCCTTAAGATAACAGGTTTTTGCACAAAGTTATCCTGTTAATTTATAAGACATGCTCTCTGTATTTTTGTGACATATTTCTTTCCAGTGTACTCGGAGGAGCATTCGGAGACCGTTGTAGAATCGTCAACAAAAGCTAAGCAAATATTTAGAAAACGCAGAGCTCAAAGCACGGCGTGTGGCTAATTGACAAGTTACCAAGCCACCAGAATACCAGGCTATGGGGCTACCATGGGCTATGTTCCGTACCTCCCCACTTCCGCCCCGAAAAGGGTTCGGCTCGGTGTTAAAAATGCTAGATAATTAATTTTAATGACACACTTACGACCTGCGACTTGCGACTGCCGGCGAATGCCACTTGATTTATGGGCTGGGCAAGAGATTTTCGTTTGATTTTTTTTTTGTATTTGTTGGATCGGCTTTTGGGGCCATGTAAATTTCAGTTCGACGATTACAAAATGCCCATCCAGCTCAATCAAATGCGACTTAAAGCGATGCATAAAACCGCTCATTAGCCGGACCCCAAGCTGCTGTGTTATCCGAGTAAGGTGAGTCCAGTAATTAAGTTCAAATTTGATAAGTGGCCCTCGAAAACACTCTCACACTCCCCGCATCGCATGGATGGATGTGGATGGCCGGGGAGACAATGAAATCGTCAGTATCCGTATCGGTATCTGTATCTTTGTCGCAGCCTCCGAAATTAACTGCCTGTGAGAGTTTCCAATAAAAACATTTTAGGCCGCTTAACTTTCGACTCGAATTAGTCACTCGGCTGGGAATAAAAAACATTGCTTTTGACAGGGAAAGTTTGTACGCCGAAAAAGACAGTACTAAACAGCAAATAATCTAAGACAACTAAAAAAGGATATTTAATTATCTTGGAATATTATAATAATTAGTAAAAATATTTTAAATCAAAATAATATTGTTTCTTTATTAGTAACTATTTAATGCGATTATCGATTGTTTAAAAAGTTAACCTGAGTTAATTAATTGGCCGTCCAAAAGAATGCAATAAATGCATTCGTAGGAAGCCTCTGCCACTTCCGTACACAAACAATAACAAGTTGTTGCATACTTTTAGACACCTTTTAAAGAGATTTCAAATCGCAGCGATTTATTTAATACTCTCCGTTAATTTTGAGATTAGAAAAACGGTTTTCCTGTCCAATCATTATTTTGAGAAGACCAAGTTGTATTTAATTCTTTCCTTGACCCCAGAAATCGCAATTTGAATAGCGACTGTTTCCGGTACTCGGTCCATGTTGACACAGTGCAATGCGAGTGCTTGCGAGTTATGAATGGAAGCCCTTTGATCTACAATCCACAATCCGCAGTCGGAATCGACGGTTGGGCATCTCTAATTAACTGTCGCAGAGACGAAGTCAAATGTTTCTTTTTTTCTGCTTTGGGGATTTTAAACCATGGCTTTGGCTCTGGCCAGGAGCAGATTTGGCCCAGCTTAGGAGCTCAGAATTGGCCAGAGCTGCTGCATCGAAGACCATTGATAAATTGTTGGAAAGCGTTCGATTTGGCCAGTGCCCAAAACAAACCAAAACATTCCGGACCCAAGCAGACCAAGGAAAACGCAAACCAACCAAAAGCCAATCCAACGTTACGCTTTTCACTTACTTTGGAGTACCAAGTTTATGCAGGGTAAATTGTAAAATCGGCTATCTTCGATAATATTTCTAATTTACATGATTTATAAATAAAAACGCATTTATATATTTTAAAAATTATTGAAAGAAGAGTCGTTTGAGAGGAATAGTTTGGATATTTGTATTCATAGTGATTATTTTGCTTTCGTTTCTTTATTTACCAATAATCCCTCAAGTCAGAGAAACTATTCTTTTAAAAATGAAATATACTCGTATAAAAACAATGGAATAACAAAAAAAAAATGGTAAAATGGAATTCAAAATGTTATATTTATTATATAAATTATGTATTAAATCATAATATTAATATTATATTATATTATTAAATATAATACTTAATATGGAAAGCAGTAAAGCTAAATTAAATATGATTTAAATTTGAATTCAATTCTCAGATATGTAAACTAATTCCGAAAATAATCAAATGAAAAATGTAAGAATTTTTAAACAATTGCGTATTTAAAATAACAAAAAATGGATAAAAATCAAAGATTGTAGTTATTTTGCTTGCAAAACTTACAGTTATGTTAAGCGCTTAAAAGAATTTTTCTGATTTTTCCATAGAATGAAACTCCAGTTTGGAGCTTTCAATCACGAAATGACTTTGCGGAAAGGACCTCGCATGAACCCACTAGCTGTTGATGGGTTTATATTCGCACTTTTTGGGGCTTGGGGTTGTTTGTGCCGGGGCTTTTCCTTGTCCATGTCCTGGCTGAGAGTTTTCAATTTCCCTCCCCTTCCCCCTCCACCTCCACCCGCACCCGCACCCTCGACCAAACCCTCCAGCGACCCCTCGTGTGCTGGTCGTTGTCGACATTTCATCGTTTTATGATTGATTGCGTTCGCCTCGCAGTGATTTTCGGTAACCGAAAATTGTGAATTGAATTCGTGGTGGGGGGTATGGGTTGGCAAAGGGGGATTCCCCGGATGAGGGGGCTTTCAATTGGTGTTATTGCTGTTGCTGCTGCTTTTGGTGCGATTGCGGTTGCGGTTGCTGCTCTTGCGTTTTTGCACTGCAATTTGACAATTTCATCGCAAAATTGTTTTGGTGTCTGTGGCCGTGTTGTTCCCTGTGTGTGTGTGTGTGTGTGTGTGTCCCTGTGATTTATCACAAGTGAACGATTTACACAAAAAAAAAGACTTGTTTACGCGCATACTTTGGTAATTAATAATTTGAATTTTGCGAGGCGAACAAAGCGAAATGATTGTTCGGTGGATTCACAAGAAGCGGCCAATTATGTCATCCCATCTCGCCTTAGCTCTAGTGTCTGTCTGTCTGTCGGTCTGTCTGTCCGAGTATTCTGGTTAACCCAATTTCGCCACTCTTTGAACTACTCCTAG